TAAACTTTCGCTTCGTCTCTTCTTTGTTTGATAAAAAATTATTTCATTTTTGTCCCAAATTTTGTGGCTCGAAACAAATTTCAAAACTGTTTGCAATGCGACGAAGGAGGTGAGTGTTCTAATAAAATTTATTTTATAATCTTTTGCGGGAACTACCCTAAGATTATCAGTATTTTTAAGTGAAACTTTAGAAAATTGAGCGTTTCGAAGAAAGAGTAACTTTGCCAAAATGTGGAAAATTCTGAACCTTTAAGAACATTTAAAAATATTATTAATAAATGACCCTTAAAGTAAATCTAAAAACAACTAAAAAAGTTCATCACCATTTTCCCTGCAAAGCAACTGATTTACAGCACCAACTCCTAAAAATTCACTGAGTTACCAAGTCCTAGTTGGTAGGACGATATTTCAAAAAAGTCCTACGGTATTTTCAACCGTTTTTGAAAAATTAGATTTTGAATCAAACGAAATTGGCTTTCGCGGCCATTTGTTTCCATTTCCAAAGACCCTACAAACGAAAAAAACTCACAAGTTTGGAGTTGTTTAATCTTCGGCGCTCACGGACTTGTTCATTCTCATATTTGTGCTTCTAACTCTTTAAAAGATAGGACTTTTTTGATTAAACCTAACTAACAAAGGAAAGTTTATGGGATGCTCTTTGAAAAACAACTGTATCATTTCCAGATATGAGTTGATCAACTTTTAACCGACTTGCTTAGTTGCATATTTGTGCCTTTAACTCTTTAGAGATTAGGAATTAATTTTCGCCTGTTGCTCTTAAATCAGGCGACTTAAACCCGCAAAAACTGATTATTTGACAAGTGGAATTAAAAAAAAACTAAAAATTCTTATAACGTTAGAAATATGTCCGAAAGGAATTAGTATTTGATTTGAAAATGATCGACAGATAGGGAATGAACGCAATTAGCGATTCCAGATTAACTTTTTCCGATGAGCTATATTACGATGACGTAAATTTATTAAGCCTATTATCCAGTTTTTTGTTAACTAATTAGCCGTTAAATTACTCATTGTTGCATTAAGGCAAACACTAATTCAACATAGTAGGATGAAATCTACTTTTTGATGTACAGATTTATTGCAGAATTAAACGGTTAATTAATTAATTGAGCTAGTTCGCTCAACAAGAAATCCACATGTGGAAAATTTACTCTTAATTCAACGTGTAATCCTCATCAAGTGATTACACAGATTCATTTTATCCATTTTCGTTTTAATTTGCTGACAAAAATGAATGTTTGCTAACGTTAATTTTACGAAATTGTTTGGGTGTGTACGCACTTGGAAATTGGAAAATTATGTTTTATCGGTGTACGTAATTGAATTTTATAAACGAATCGATCCATTTCAACATTGAGATGGCTGCTTGTTTAAAAATATACCTTTCAAGTACTCGGGGCAACTTACTGTAATATTTATTAGCAGTTATTGATACGCTCACCAAAAATTAGTTTTTTCGAAGATTGTTCCAACCTTCGAAAGTTGTAAATTATCTCTCAGGTATTGCTTGAAAATGCAACGTGAAAAAGTACTGAGACTGTCTTGTTTCTGGAACTGTGACTGATATATATTGAAGATACATTAACTATTAAATTTCTATTGATAGCTTTTTCATGTCTAGCCACGCTGGTGCTCAAGCCAATAAAATGTTCCTATTACAAATAAAGATATTGTCATTGGAGTCACATGAAAGTTTAAATATGGATATGAAACAACCATGAATAGGACCCTGTTTCCAATAAATATTTTATTATCATTTAGTCAATGTTTTATATTTGGTCAGACCAACTTTTCGCGCGCTATTAAGATAAATATCGTTTGATATATGATATATCAAACGCAGAGACCGAGTTTTTATCTTAAATGAAGTGACAAAATGAAGAAAATACTGAAATTTAATGTAGTAGATAACAGGAATGACTACAGGAAGTTCTTAATGCAGCTTTTCGAAAGCATGGCTATTTTTAGGGTACTGATACGCCACAGATTAGAAGATCTTAATAAATGCAAAATAATGAATGGCCGTTTCAGACATGTCGTGAGTTTGATAGAATGTGGCGCGCAGTACGTGGGATGTTTTGCTGTCCTGATTCAGTTTCAACACGATTCTGACAAGTTGTTATGTTTTCATGGTTTCCTGAAACAATTATTAAGTGAGGGAATCTCAGCTTTAAGGGCGGAATGTCTTGGTATTAATAAGCTTCCTGCGACATAATTTTCAAGCCACGATATTACAATGTAAACTGAAATCCATTGCATTGCTTGTTCGAAGTCTCCGAAATTCGCGACTACTTTACTTAGCATATTAAGTTTGCCAGTGAGCGTACTAATTGAATTGGCTTGATTCGCTGGTAGAAGAGCTATGTAACCAGGCCGGTAATAAGGGCCATACAAATTGCTTTGGCGAAACTTAATCCAGTTATGTTCTCGTATCCAATCCTTTGTTCCATTCGCGAATGTATATGAGCAAAATGGTGGAACGGTGCTCTTCTGGTCCGGAGGCGCCTGTCGATGCTGCGTGCACGCTCTTTTGTTTTTTTTTTCATGCAGAACGATGAACGCCAATTATGCCTCTACTTTTACCAGATTCGGGACAAGTGCCAAAAATATTCAATTTGCTTTGTTCATACATTTGAGGTTCGCCAATAAATTACAGATAAACAATTTGCTTCACGGACCATTTACCGCTCTGAATGGCTTTCTGCGTCTATTGTCTAACTATTTCCTTCCATTTCGCTTTGTGAAAATCATGGTCATATGCTCAGATTTCTGCTCTAAGGCGAAATCTGCACATTATACCACTTACTATTTAGCACAATCTCTTCAGTCCCGTGAAGGTTTTGACTGCTTTTTCAAAAAATTCTCAGTTGTCAAGCTAGAACAATTTTGTCAAGCAAGAACACTTCACCATAAGAAAGTGGGAAATATTTTAACTTGGCTAAAAAGTAATAAGCTCGAAAAGACCATGATTTACTTTTACCAGGATTCATTCATTATTCGGACGTAAATGATACCAAATTGATGAAGTTCTCTATAAATATTGAGGACAATTTTTTAATTTATTTTCACAGAACATTTCAGTATAGGTACAGATACATATTTTAGAAGGAATCGGTGCTAGTCAATCAGAACAAGACCCGAATTCAAGAACGACACTCAAGCATCACTCATATTAAAATCAGACTCATCTCATTTTTTTAAATGAGTGACTAAAGTTTAATGAGTGTGGCTTTTCGTCCCATATAGCGTACTCAAGATTTATTTTGGTGGATTGTGACTAATTAAATGCCGAAAGTTTCATCAAATTTCAAGTTTCCCTGCAGTGATTGGGTGTATAGATGGTACATACATGGAAATAGTAATCTCAGGTGGATCAAATGCTCATCTTTGGAGCAATAGGAAAGAAGGATTTAATTAAACGTACAAGCTTTAGCTGGGCCTGGAAACTTAAAGCTTAGATATAATTGTTATTCGTTGACCAGGCTCTGCTCATTATAGAAGATATTTTGTATTGTAGTTCCTTATGTATGCGATTGGAAAATGGCTGCTTACCAGGGATTTTATTGGGAGATGCTTATGCTGGAGAGTGTCCAGGATAGGTATATGTATACTCCAATGAAAAGCCTAATAAGACGAGCCGAGCAGCGATATAACAACGCACATATTTTAACAAGGAATGTTCAACGTTCAACGCGCTTTTAGTGTAGGGAAAGGTCGTTTTAAATGTTTAGCAAAGTACTTGCAAACGTCATTACGACATACCGTCAGAATTATTGCTGCTACAGCAGTGCTTCATAATGTTGCCATTGACACCAACCAGGAGATCGATGAAAGTATCATCAGGAGTTATGAGTGAAGTGTTCTTGAATTCGGCCCTCAGTTCAAGCAAGAGTCTTTCGCAAGACCAAGACTTTCGCAAGGCTCTTGCAAAAAGAATAATATTGAACTGTATTAACTTAAATTAGTAATATTCTAAATTCGTATTAACGAAATAACAAAAACTGTAAATCTTTATTTTCATCAACATAATTATCGGGACAACATTTCGGCTGTAAGGCAACACGTGCACCCGGTTTCGTAAATTTTTCAGACGTAAATTTTTGTCAAGCTATAACTCTGCCTTATCACTCAACGAAAAGAACGGTTGCTTTTCTATTTTAATTCTCAAAGCTTCCGATAATGTGGTAACGTTTACTTTCTTTGATCCTATATTAATTTGTCATTTTCCCTATACAATTTTGATCACTTTTATCACATTGGGATTTGAGTCGTTGATAAACTTAATTTATGTCTCCCCGTGACAGATAAATCTGGAATTCTGCGTGCTTCCAATATCGACTGCTTCGGTTTGTGGAAAATTCAGCCTAATGTTGAATATTGAGTGTCGTCATTAACACCCCAAGCTTCAATTAGACAAATACCTGCGAGACGTCGAGCCCCTTTCCTTTCTATTAGGTATATTATTTGCAATTCATGATTCTATTTCAAAATCTAAAGAAATGTGCTTCATACGTATTCATCATGCCACTACTCTTAATAACTTACGCAACATCGAACATTTCTGATTTTGACTTCGAAGGAGATATATGTAGTAATTTTCAAGTAAGGTTGTCTTAATTTACTGAAGGCTGAGAAGGTTTAATTATGAACAGAGGCGTTCATAGGTGGGTAAATGCCATTCAGAACTTTAAACAAAAGAAAATTAGGAAACCAGGGCACAAAATATTGTTTCTGTAGAATCGAAAATCTTGCGTAAGGAACTGCCTAAGGAAACTAATCGAGAATCATCCATTGAAACTTTCAGTACAATAGGCTTTATTTGCTGATATAACTTCATTAAATTACGTAGAAGAAACGCCTATCCAACGTTTCCTTCTTCAGGTGATTATGGTAATATTTGAAATACAAATATTTTTTGTTATGAAAAATAAATGCCTTTTGCTACGTTCACTGAAATGATATTTCATTTTTATTTTCAGATGCGTGCATTGGAACTAGAATGCTGATCAAAAAAAGAAGAAACAAACGACAACGAACAGAAATTTTGCAAAATTTCTTTACAAAGTGATGCATTTTATGCGTTTCTTACCGTATTATCTTAACTATAAGGTAATTGTGTTGAAACCTCATGTTCATTTAATTTAAGTCATACTTCGTAACCTAAATTTTGAAGTAGACCAAAGAAACATCCACCTTAATTAAAATGTTCAAAAATTCTTAATTAATTTTATTTACCTTTTTAAAACAAGATATTCAAATCAAACTAAAAACATTGACAACTTAACTTGTAAAAGATCGAAAACTAAGAGCAATTTCCATTAATTTAGCCTTGTTAAACAAGTTAATAATATATTCCTTTTGCCGTAGGTTTTGAGAACGGTAACAGATTTGCTATCAAAACGTCCAGGTAACTTTTCTATTCACAACGAGGACCATGGGCTAGACTTAAGTTAGCTTAGGAAGCAAGAGAGGATGTGTTAGGTTAGGTTTAGGTTTAGGTTAGAATAAGTTAGATTAAGTTAAACGATGTCACTTAAAACAACAAGATGTTAGCATTAAGGATCCGTAGAATAAGTAGCAGTAAGAAGTATTGTAAAACTTGGCTGAAATAAATATGTTCAAAGAACTTTTCTATATCAATTTCTGTTCTAATTCGAAATTGCCTTAAGGAGGTAGCGATCAAATATGAGGAGCAGGAGTTGAGCGTTACGTTATTATTTTTGTCAATGCAGATGTTCTCTATTGGCGTAATTTTGCTGGCACACGAAAGTTTCGATTTGTATCAGGACAGCAGAATGTTTAAGGAGGTAGCGAGCAAATTTGAGGAGCAGGAGTTTAGCGTTACGTTATTGTCTTTGTCGATGAAGAACGATACCTTTGGCAAGTTCCTACGGAAACTTACTAATGATTCTAGAACAGAATATTCGCTATGGAAAGCTACCAAAAACCTGCAAAGACCAATCATGCATGCATCCCCAATCAAAAATGCAGACGGGAGCTGGGCTAAAAGCAATGAGCAAAAAGCCAGAAGATTTGCTGTGGATAACGCAGAAAAATTGCCTTGTATTACACAGCAGGAAGAAGGAGAAATCCCGTTTGTCACTCTGACTGAAGTAATTAAAGAAATAAAAACTAATGTCAATCCGAAAAATCCTGGGTTCGACTTAATCACAGGAGAGATCCTCAAAGGATTACCGAAAAAAGCATTGATTAAGCTCACCAACCTGATCAGTACCTCATTTCGACTTCAGTGCGTCCCACAGTTATGGAAGGTGGCAGAAGTGATCATGATCAAATTCGCTGGAAGAGAAGAAAGTTTGCTCAGCTATATTCCTAGATGTTGCACAGGCTTTCGATAAAGTCTGGCACGAAGGTTTGATCCGTAAACTTGAAAAGTTGCTTCCGGTTCAATACTCACAAGTATTGAAATCTTACGTAACTGAGAGGTACTTCAGAGTCAGACAAGACAATGCTTACTCTGATCTAAAAGAAATTCAAGCAGAGGTTCCACAGGGCAGTGTATTGGGACCAATACTTTATCTACTATATACATCGGATCTGCCAGTAGGCTCTGATGATGTCAGCGTGAGTGGGGTTGAAGAAGAATTACGTCAAGCTACTGTTGCTGATCAAAATGTTGTTGCTACATTCGCCGATGACATTGCAATCCTAGCGATAGGCGACAGCAATATGCAGTTTACTGAAAAACTCCAAGCAGCTATAGATGAGGGTCAACGTTGGACCCTGAACTGGCGCATCAAATTAAATGAAAAAAAAAACAGGTCCATAACGACTTCACCAACAAACGAATAGACGACAAACCAGTTTACATTAGTGACAAGATTGTACCATATGGGAATGCAGCTAAATATCCAGGCATAACCCTCGATACAAAACTCAGATGGAAACCACACGTCAAGAAGAAACAGGAAGAATCTGAAGTACAGCATAATCAAGTCCTCAAGCCAGTGTGGACTTATGGTGTGCAACTTTGGGGCTGCACCAAACAGAGCAATAGAAAAATCATCCAGCGCTTCCAGAATAAAGTCCTACGTAGAATCGTTGATGCACCATGGTATATAAAAAATTAAAATCTACATAACGACTTAGATGGAGGAACAGTAGATAACGTCATCAAAAAGTATGCACAGAATCATGAACAGCGACTCCATCAGCATGTGAATCCTGAGGCACTCAAGCTCCTGGATAATGCGGAAATACAGAGAAGACTTAAAAGAACTAAACCATTCGAACTGGTTTAGAAGGCAAGAATTTGTGACAGAGTACATGTCAAACCGATGTACTGAATATAACAGACAAAGTGACTATCAGAGGATGTGTGTGCTTTGTGTTTTTTAATGTAGTAGATTAAGTTAAAGACAAATGGCTTCTTAGTATACTGTATTAGATTGCTATAACAATAAAAAAAATGTTCAAGAAAAAAGTTTTTAAGATAAGAATTCTCCTCAATGATACACGGTTAATCAAAATTTGCGTCATTCCTTTTAAGGGGGTAATAGGGGCTCACTCGGAGAGTACGGGAAAAATATTGAATTTTTTTTCGAAAAGTTCTAGAAGATATGTTAATATCTTTGGAAACTTTCTAGTTGAAAATGGCATCTCAGCTTTGTTATTAAGCATTATTTTGAAATGGTCCCATGTTTGATTCGTAGTCTATTGGAGTACTTAAGCATTCGAAACGAAAAATTACAATCTTTGCTTCAAATTACGAAAAATTTTTATATTAAAAGAGTTCTCTTCTACATTTTTTTGATGAAAAGTAAAAGCGGCAATGATGTTCCTTGTTATTAACAGATAGTTGCAAGTAGATAGCCTGTGTAAATAACAGCAAGCTTTTGTCAATCTGTGTCTTACTTTGAGGTTTATTTTAAATGTGCACCCACATTGAATTTGCGAATTTGCGATTAGTTATGGGTAAATGCTACAGTAACATAGCAGAAGCTGTAAGAACTTACGGCAACAAAGGGCTAGAAACACTGGACTATTGGCTCCAGGAAAATAGTGGACGACAATACATGTGCGGTTCCAGACACAGAAGAAAAGGTATTGCAGATATTTGCAGCAGAGCCGTCCAGGGGTACGCAGAGCATTCCAGAACAACTCACCCTTTTCCAGACACAGAAGAACAGATATTGCAGAAAATTGCAGCACAGCCTTCCAGGGGTACTCGGAGCTTTCCACAATAACTGACCCTTTTCCACACACCAAATAAAGACCGAGGAAGGACTACATTCCTACCACGTATTTAAGATACGCACAGCACAAGGACACATTAAACCACTGGTTTACTGAACACTGGTATAAATGGAGCAAGAGCTAATTAACCGAATATGAAAAGCTGCTCGAGAAGAGTGTTTCATAAAGTGATTACACAGGCACTAACTTGTTTGGAGTTAAAGACAGAAATTCATGTTTATTTATATACACATCAATTCGAGGTTATGATAACAATATTAAAATTTCTAAAAAGTACGTTCCCTATTTACCAATTCCTGTTAAATTTTTCTTTTGTCCTTATCGACCTTATTGTCACGTTTCGTTTCCATGGTTTTTGGGATACCACTTTTTGGGATACCTTCTGATCTAGTTTTGTCAAATATCTCAGTTTTTACTAACAATTAATTTTTTACCATTCTTTCTGTACTCTCAAAACGCCCCCAGGCAACTAGAGATGGCCGATTGTGTTTATCACCTCTCGCCTATAAGAATTACTGGTCAGTTCTCCAGGATCCATAATCGGTCAGATCAGAGAAATATTATGCAGTTCGGTGATGATATAATTCAGCAATTTTGGTATATCAGCATTACTGTTAATGTGGATTATTTAATGTTATTATTTACTTAATAAAACGCGTAAATAATTGAAAAGCTTTTAAAAAACTATGGTGCACCATCAATCAGAGGAAGTTCAGTTAAATGATAGACAATAAGATTACTCAATTTTTCAAGATTTTGACAAACTTGTTTCATAACAAAAAAAAACACAGGTATCTTATACTTTCCATGCGAGAGATTATTTTGCAAAACGAGCGAAGAACTAGAAACCTAGAACTCAATGAAAATTAGCTTGGCATACAAACCGTATATTTTATTTAAACCATTCGATTTTATTATCAGCTTTTCTTCCTTTAGGTCGTTAGTTATGACCCATGTGTTTTTGCTTTTAGAATTATTTTTAGCACACCAATGCTAAGTATTATTTAACTATATATATAAAGTAGTATCTGTTATAAACTAAGTCATTAATTATCATCACGAGTTCTACCATCATCATTGCGAGTTTGTAATGAAAAATTTCAAAATTAACATATTACTTTCGAAACCGCATTTTGGAACCTAACACCAAAGTGCAACTGGAACGTTGTAACCTGTTCTAGAAAAATAACCCTTTAGCACACCCTTGCAGACAACACCTCCAGAGAAACAACGCCAATTTTGAATGACCCCGTAGAGGTACTAATCACAAACTTGTACCAATCCATTCGATAGCACTCTATTTTTTTATTAGTCCAAATGGCGGCGAAACCGAACAGAGTTCCAAAGCAAATCTGCTTATAAATTACAGTAGTAAAATTTATGTTTTACCGGTATTTATCGTCGAAATCCAATAATAAATGGGTGGTGCCCTTTATGAGCCGTTGAACAGTATTAAAATCAAAATACCACGCATAATCCATACGAAACGTGTTTTAAAATTACAACAATATCCTCTTTGCCCCAATAATGCGTTTTAATATTTGCATAGCCTCATTGGCATATGCTTGGTAAATTTAAATGTGTAAAAATTGTCCTGCGGGGAACGCCAAATAGTCCAATTACCAATTCGATCAATTTAAAAACACCGATGTTGCGGTTTTTTTCGGAAATTAGATGGCGGAATGTTATGATTTAAATTGTTGAGTACATTGGATAGATTGGTTTGGCTGATCAGCATTCACAATTGTGAGTACTTAGGTACCTAAAATGACATAATTTGATACTGCGGCCGTCAATCAAATCAAAGAAACTAATAAAGGATCAATAAGCTGGAAAATTTGAGCGGTGATTGTCCTTCTTTGAAAGCTAACACATTTATTAAAAACTTATATACTAATTTCCTGTTATTTACGGTCAAATTCTATTGAAATCTTTCGTGTCGGCATGAAGGGCTTTATGTAGGCCTTCAGAAAGAAGGACGAAAATTATAGGGTTATATGTAACATTACGTTATTCGGAACAGCATGTTAACATGTGTGTGTATGATGTAGTTCGACACATACGGGTAGGCATCTGTTCAGTTTCGGAGGATTTTATTCCATAAGGGTTTATATTGAGAATAATTTTATTAATGTTCACTGTGGTCTTTGATTCCGATATTTTCATTTGACAATCAATTCGAATTAAAATAGTGTAGGTGTATAATTAATAA